AACCCGCAAAAATTAGATTACCAGCACAATGCAGCTATGAGAATAATCCGAGTCGCGGAAGAGATATGTAAATAAGCGCAACTTGAAATGAAAATAAATTCCATTGTTTTGACGAAATATTTCTGAGAACGGGAATCTTCAATCGTTGATTATATCCAGCAAATGTTGCTTTTCAACTGAGAGATCTAATTTTCACAATCAACCAATTTCTCAGCCAGTAGATAACATAGTTTCGAGAATTAAATTTGCGGGACTCTCTTCGGAAATGACAATAGACGCGAGACTCATTTCTGAAGTTGCTGTTACGTGAAATTAATTGAATCTGAACAAGTTGATCATGTGGAATTAACTATTCTCTTCGTACAAATAAGTTACGATTATTACAATTTACCTTCGATTTTTTTACTTACTTTCTTTATAATCACTTAACGAAGCTATTATTCTTGCTGCTTAACCTACTTATTATTTTTTTTTCTTCACTTTTCTGTAGAAAAGATCAGATAAATGTGATATCAGATAAATACCTATATTTTAAACGATTTCTCACACACACACACGAGCAAATGTATATAAACTTGAGTTTTATTTAACCACAAATATTATTTAGACAAGTATAATATTTATTATATTAAATTAAACTGTATTAAATATTCGTCGCTGGATACGCAGCAACAATAATCCCAAGCATAATCTTATAACAGGTTATATTATTATTATTTATGTTAATACTAATTAATGTAAGTTTTATTTTGACTAATTTCTTCATCCGTTACCGTAACAAACGATACGATCGTGCAAGCACAAGTACTTTACATAGTAACACCGCGAAACTAGAAATCGTTTTGACGCAAATCGTCCACTTAATTTCATTCTTTCGGGGACGTGCCGGAGCGAAATTCCCGAAAGATCTTTCGTACATGATATCGTTCCGAAACGAGACAAAAAGAAGGAGGCAATTTTCTTTTCCGAATCCTTTGGACGGTGCTCCGAAACAAGAACTCGTTTCTCCTCTCCCCGGGCTGCCACCACACGCGCCAAGAATACCGCTCTATTTCCGCTACGGCGTCTTGGTAGGTCCGAATTACTTCGACAGTCATCTCTCTGTTCGGGTTTCTAAACGGAAACCTAATTTGTGCCACGGTGATAAACAGCCTCTGGTACCGGTTTCCGGCGGCGAGAGAGCACAAAGAGAGAGAGGAAGGAGAGTTGGAAGTATTCGCCCGAGAGACGCGGCACGGAAAGACACCGTGATAATCACCCATTATACGTCGTACGCTACCGAACAATTAATTATGATCGAGGCCATCTTTACTTTTAGTTTCTTTTGTCATTTGAACCCCCCGTCGCCGCAGAGGCTCGCTTCATTATCTCCCGGCCTTTCATCAAACGGGTCTTTATCTCGTTTCTGTCAGTCAACTTCAGCGTAATATTGCGCTATAGAATTTGTAGATTAATAATTATTCCGGAGATAGACGAGTCAGAGATTATAGCGGTCGTGCAAAATTGGCAAACATTTCGTGGTAAAAGCGGAATTATAAAAAAAAGGAAACAAATTTATATTCCACGATAAAATTTCTCTAAGGTAAATCGTGGATTACAGAAACAAGGTTTTTTTTTCTAAAAAAGCTAAAATATATAATGAAGTCGCTGTGAAAGAGGAACGTTTGTGCACGTTTAAAAGTTGAATATAATTAAAAAGCGTATCCAGATGTATCAGTGTTTAACCCTAGAGAGGTAATATGAATTTTCTCATACGTGAAAGGCCAAGCGAGGTAATAAATTACCCCAAACTTGTACCGCGTGTATAATGTTTCTATTTGTTGTTAGACAACTTTTTAATAGATAATTTTGTTTGTTTTTTAATAGGGAAGACGACAGTAGTCATCCAATTTGCGGTAGTAAAAAAAAAAAACAGTAAAATAATTTCGAAAAACAAGAAAAAGAACTAAAAATTGGGCTGAAATGACTATTTTTATAAAAAATGCTGTAGTTTTTCATAAAATTCACCGATTTTAAAAATTCCAACGGATTTTAAAAGACGAATAGACAACCTTTAAGGGCATGTAAGCGATTTTTTCGTTTCTTAAAAAAAACATATTTCTTTGAACATCTGAAGTAGAGGAAATGATGAAAAACTGTCGGATGGGAAAAATCGCAAGAAATGGAAAGTAAAACAGATTCTGTCGATTATTATTTATTTGAAAGGTAGTCAAAAGTTATAAAAGTATATGGAAACAGTAAAATTAACTCCACAAAAACTTTACAAAGTTTTAATCAGTTGCTGTGCAAGAACAGCAAAAGTGAAATAATTGACCGAATCTTAAACAATTATATATGAAACAGGGGTAGAATTTTCCGGGGAGTGCTATAAAGTGTATAATTTTTCGTTACCGATTTTCACAAAAAATATGAAATATACTTTACTGTGGTAAATGTCGAACGTAAACGGCCGAAAGGGGGTAATACGTTACCCCAAACGATTTTATTTTCGGTTTTCAGCTGCTGCACGGATCTAACGCACTCGCTGAATGACGGAGGTCGACTACCGGATAACTAAACTGAATTATGGTTAGGGTTTCGGTATGAAAACTAACCTTTCTAAGGCAGGGGCGCAATTTGAATTTCGCGTGGGGCAACGTATTACCCCACATTACCTTTCTAGGTTTAATAAAATTGTTACGTGACGGGGAATTAAATTTCTTTTCTTTTGAAATAGGAAGGGATGAAAAGGAAAAGAATTGGATTGCATGGAGAACTGAGCAAGTAAGTTTGGTGATCGAAGTTTGACAATTGGAAAAAGTGGATTAGAATCCTTGATACGGAGTAAAACACAGCCAGATCAGAGGGAAGCGAGAACTTCTGCGAGCAAAAAGAAAACGAATTGCGAGTGACACTGCAGTTCTATATAGAACGATCGATCGATAAAAAGACTGACTGATAGATTTACTACTTTATACAGTGTGTTTGTTATGAAGAAGCAGACGGTAGAAATGCGCAGAGTGTGAACGAAATAAAAATTAACATATTGAAGAAACTGATTTTTATATCGCAGGGGGAGTCAACAAATTTCGAACGAAAAGTAGAACTGCAGTAGTTATAAAGATAAACATAATTCTTTCTCTTTTTCTTTATTTCTCTCTTTCTCTCTCTGTACATATTAATTTCAGGTAATATGCATATGGACTAACAAACCTCAGGCGTTATCATTTTTCATAAATTTGTTATATAGTCAGCTTATCATAACTTTATAATAAAATTTTACCAAAACACCAGCGAATTATATTTATTATATTATATTAAATGCGAGGTATTAGATTAATGCAAATAAATAAAGCAATGTTAAACAGTAGGAGTTGTGACAGATAAATGCATGGATTTTCGTATTCACAAAGTTGATCTTTCTACAATCGCGAAAATGATGGGGAAATAAATATTGTATGTGTATAAAAGCTTTGCGTTCTTTTATTCTGCTTCACAACAAATAATAGAAGTTTTGTGGAATGGGAGAATGTTTGACATTATTATATTTATATTTCAAGAAATTCGAGTTTTAGAAATGCGAACTTACAGAGATTCACGTTTGCTGTTCATCCTTTGTTCGTTGGTTCAGTGCGCACGAACCTTAAGGCGGTGCGCACGAACAAAGGGAAAACCCTTGTTTTAGTATAGCGACTACAGGTCACTTAGCCTACTAAGCGAGTTTATGCATACGGAGTTTCGCGCGTCTCGCTAGAGTGGCTTTCGACGACGCAATTTGCAAGAGAAATTGCCGAAGGCTACAAAAATCCGTGTACCGCCCTTCAAGACTTTAACAGCCATTTTGAGAGAGTTAAGAAACGAAGTACTATTGAATTTTATACTATATTTTAGGAATACAAGAGACTCGTTAGAGGCAATAACTGAACTGTTTTCTCAAAATTCTAATATTTTTATATTTTATTATAAATAGTATTATATACATATATATATATATATATATATATATATATATATATGTAGGTCCAGAGGTATGTTCCGGGACTGTTTACGTTTTTTGGAATGTACAGTCCTGGAATATACCGATATCAAAAATAAAAGTCCCGGAACATACTTCCGGACCTACATATATATATAACGTAATTCTCTCCGGAATAAATTGCAACATATGTTACTAAAATAGTTTTACAGTGTCAATATATAAAAAAATTGCCTATAAAACTGCTTGAAACAACTTTTTTTATTTTAAATAGTCGTAAAAGATTTTCTTCGTGAAAAAGAAAGAAAGGCTGCTAAAAGAGAGCTACACATATTAATTGAATTTATATATAAATCATAAATAAGGACCCCCAAAAGTTCAATAAATGAGAAGTCAGGGCAGTAAGGGTCAGACGCTGATCTTGGGGCGTAAATTCAATAGCACATCATTGTTGATTGCTGTGCCGACGGGATCGTTTAGTTTCGTCGTTTATTTTTTAAACTGTATATTACTCTGTATTCCCTGGCTCTCAGACCGATTGATATGGATCTTTTAGTCTGTGTTTCTGACCTTGAATCATGAAACTCGCCATATAGGGAAGTGAGAACACTCTAATTATTGCACGGCTGAAGATGGCTCAAAACTGAGCCGAAACGTATCGAACACTGTTTGGAATGTGAAGAGAAATAATAAATTCTATTGAATTTACGCCCCAGGATCAGCGTCTGACCCTTACTGCCCTGACTTCTCAATTATTTATTTATAAATTATTAATTAATAATTAAATTTATTATAAAACTTTTCCCAAAATTTTAATAAAATGTCATACGATATTTGGATATGTCTGATCTAACAATAAATAAAAAGCAGCTATATACATATTTGCGTTATGTTCGAAATGTAATCGTTTGCGCTCAAAAGATAAGACTGAATTTAATCATGAATTTTCACCTGTCAGTGTCTACACACAGAAAAATATATAAATATTGTATAAATACTACCCTCTCAAGTAATTGTATTGCGCGCCTCTTCCTCGAGATCACATGTAGTACCGCTACTATGCACCGATGTCGCCACAGTTTTAAAGTTCAAAACTTTTCGCTTTGGTTCGCTTCCGCTTCCGTTTCCTTCCATTGCTCATTCTTCTATTTTGTGCCGATTAAGCCACACGTGTGTTAACGAGATTCCGAAGAAATGGAAAAAAGGAAAATAAGAGAATTGTCCTCGGATTCAGAGGACAACAAGGATTTACGAAAAAGGATTAGACCATTAGAAACGGCGTTGAGACGCAAGGAAGAGAGTAGCCGACCGAGATACGGTAAGCGAAGAGGTTAACTGGTCGAAAAGCCATACATCGACAATGGCAGTAAGGCGCATGGGCGAGGTTCAGGCGTCTTGGTTGCAACCAAGTCGTCTTGAGAGTGCAAATTTGAGAAACGTCAAATGCGCACATAACCTCTCCACGTTATATCCTACGATTATTTAACCATCAAGCCTGTCTCAGGGCTGTAGTGACGTCAGAAAGGTATGCGCATAGCCGAGATTCAGGTGTCTTGGTCCAACCAATTCACCTTGAAAATGCAAATTGAAGGGCTTTAATTCTGCATAATCTCGCCACGTTATGTCCTACGATAGTTTGACCATCAAGTCGGTCCCGAGGCTGTAGTGACATCAAAAAGGTAAGCGCATATGCGAGATTCAGGTGTCTTGGTCCAACCAATTCACCTTGAAAATGCAAATTAAAAGACTTCAATTGTGTACGTATAACTCGCATATGCAAGGCCAGGTGTCTTGGTCCAACCAATTCACCTTGGAAATGTAATTGAAAAATTTCAATTGCATACATAACCTTACACATAACATTCTGTGACCCGGATATAATCCGTAGTATATCGGTTCAACCGATATATTAAAGAAAAGCTATATTCCGAGTATAAACCACTTAAGACTGTCATTTTCTAAGACAACCTGTTTTTGTTTCTTTATTGTAACAGGAGGTATCAAGGGACGTTGTGCAAGATAACATCTCGGAAGGATAAAAGCGGTCACGACTATTTTTACAGGCGACATTATAATAACGATAGACAAAGTTATAACCGGGATTATTATCCGGATGATCACCTGTATGACGATGACTCGTTAAATGACTACGACGGTGAAAGTCGGATACGAAGAGTCATTCGTTTCTATTTCAAATTCCACAGGACGGAACCTGAGTTCGCCTGAGTCGGAGGTAAGCAGCGAGACTGTTCTAACAGAAGAGGCTCTCGGTAGAGTTCGCATAATGCCGGATAGAATCCTAGCACCGGCGGTGCACAAGGATCTTGCAGTCAGATGAGAAGACATTAGAAAGGGCCTTCTAGTTAAGGAGCAAATAATTTCTCTTAAAAAAGCCCGCCCCCCCCCCGGAAAATTATACAGTAATAGATCCAAAAAATTAATTTGGAGATAAAGTCTGCTCTAGACAACACTAATGTTAAGAGAGACAAACCTATTGTTGAGAAACCAGCATAAATAGCTGCTGACATTGCTGGAGTTGCAAAAGTTTTGAATTCTATGCTGAAAGGAGACCAAGAGAATAAACTGGGTCTTGTGGAAGACCTTAGCGAGATTATTAGTTGACTTATGTGATCAGACAATGATTCGCAGGAGAATCATCTTATTTTGAAGCCTATTGTTACATAAAATATGTAGAAAAAGCTTTAACATAATTAATTAATTTGTTGCGATAAATTTCACAGGAACAAAGAGTTCTTCGAAAAGGATTTAAAGAGTGGCGTAAAAGCCAATCAAAAATCCAAAAAACTCGCGGGGGCCATTTTGCTGAAATCGACAGAAGTCTTGCGGCTAATCGAAGGCGAGCAGACACAAGTAGACGTACAATCAGCGACAAAACTCATCCTCTTAAGGTCGCAGTACCTATCAAAAGCCGGGACAAGCGCCTGCGAAGAAGAATTAGAAATAAGTAAGGTGGACTGGCATAGTTGAAATGTCAATAATCGTGGTTGATTTCAGATTCAACCATCTTGAACTAGATTCAAGATACTGTTCTCATCAAAGGTGAGACAACTCATACGTCCGAAGGAACCACAATAGTCTGAGCAGGAAAAATTTTGTCCGAGCAGATTCGGGAACAGATTGCGTAGCTATCAGGTCAATTCGAAGTGCCAGCCAGTTTCGAACCAAATTATTTCAAGAAATTTTTTCTTTTTGGCTCTTGTGCCTAAACAAAATGGATCTTGTAAGCTAATCTTAAATCTACTTTAATCTAAAAGCGCTTAATAAGTTTATCAATATTGAAAACAAACTCAAATAAACAATGGCTAAAGGCTATTTCATGACATCAATTAAAATGACGCGTATTATTCAATTCGCATGGCTAGTTCAGATAAAAAATACCCAAAATTCTTATTCGAAGATGTCTTCTACGAGTTCAAATGTTTACCCTTTGAGTTAAACACAACTCCGTACACTTTAACAAAAATTATGAAGCCAGTGAATTATTACCTAAGGGAATTGGACTAATTATCGGTTAATTATTTGGATGAATTGCTTCTTCTAAGCAAGACACATGCGGGTGTTTGAAAAACGTACGGATAACATGTAGTCTTTTGACATGTAGTCACTTGGACTCATAATAAATAGAGGAAAGGATAAAATAGAGCCGGAGATCGAATATAGTGTCCTTATTTTTAGTTATAATATGACTAAGTAAGGGTCAATTGAGTTTATGCCTTGCATTAACAATTCTGAAAGATTCACGATACAATCTTTTGTTTAAATGTTTCAATTCTTTATTATTTCTCGATATAGGGACATCAAAAAAACCCGAACAGCTTTATAAGTTTAGCTCGATTATACGATACTCTATTCGAGATTTTACTAGGTTCATAGGAACCTTAGATTCATGTTATACAGTATATAAATTGGTTCAATGCGAAAAGCATGAGTGAGAAAAACTATTGCGTTACAGAGAAATAAGGTAATTTTAAAGCTCGCATGAAATTAAGCGACGAATTAAGAGAGGATTTGGACTGATGGAAATCGCATTTTGATGCTGCAAAATGTTCTATTAAAAGTTAAACCTGCTCTAGAAATAATCTTGGATACGTTACTTTCAGGCTAGAGTAGTTCTTTGCCAAAGTTAACGGGCTCACGGATATTGGAATGCCATATCAATTATCTTGAGTTGTTAGTAGGTTTTTGGTCTTAAGTACTTCGCGAGAAGATTCAGAAGTAGCGATATCTTCTTACGTATTGATAATACGACTGCGATCACTTAAATATGAACAAAAGGAGCGGCATTCGGTTTAAGAAATTGAGCAAGTTGGCAATAAAGAATAGATTCTTAAATTTTCGCATCGTATATACAATCCGAAAAGAATGTCGAGGCAGATTTTGAGTCGAGAGGTCTTGAGCCGAAAGCGGAGTTTACGTTATTAAATGCAGTGTTTCAAATATTAGTACAGAGGTTTAGAAAACCAGATACGGAATTATTTGCATCTCGAACAAATGCAAAATTATCACGTTATATCTCATGGGTAAGAGACCCAGAGACGGTAGCTATCGACGCGGTTTCGATTGACTAGAGACCGTTTCATTTTTATGCAATTCCTCCGTCTCGATTATACTTCGAGTTCTGGAAAAGATGAGGGCGGAAGATTCAAGAGATATTGTAGTGGTCCCTAAGTGACCGGTTCAGGCGTGGTACCCGGTGTACATGACAATGTTGGATTCTGAGCGTTGTTAATTAAAAGCGAATAAGTATTTTTTGTGTTCAATCGACAGGAAGCCACATCCTCCTTAGGAAAGGATTACTTTGGTTGTCGGGACACTGGCATGCAAAAAAGCTTTGAACTGGGAGATGTACGAATAGATGCGACAAACATCATGCCTTCTTCGCTGACGGAGTCCTCGATTAGGCATTATATATCTGTAACAGCCTCATTACAGGGTCCAGAAGTGGAAAAGATGTAAGATCGAAGAGGCCTTCTAAGGTAGTTGAGAAGTTGCGACCTAGCATACCAAAATATGATGCTACAAAGGACCTAAGGTGGTATTTGATCATGTGAGTAGCTGAAGTGCCAATAAAGTCATAACGTTAGAAAAACTATCTTGGAAAGCTAGCGCCGCTCGCCCTCACTAGACAGCGTATATAAAAAAAAAAAAAAAAAAAAAAAAACTGACAGGGTCAAGACTTTCGAAGCTTATCAATCCACAACCGAAGGTGATTGTTCTGACTTATCACGAAAACTTGATCTTGTGCGTGGTTTCTACGTTGGAAATGTATCTTTACAAGACTAATAGAAACGAGGTTGTTTATGTCCTTTAAAAGACCCTTCAAGTTGATATCCAGTCAGACTTTAAGTCGCTGGATTAGAAATACTCTCAATAATAGTAAAAATGACACAAATATATTCAGCGCGTATAGAACCCGCCATCATGCCTCAACTTCGGCTGATAAACGAAGTGGCATAAACATAGACGCTTTTAGAAAGGCAGCAGGGCGGTCGGAGAGATTAAAAACTCTGTTGCGAGATTTTATAGTCAAAAAATAGTGTCAACTAAGGATGTTTTTGCTAAGCTATTCTCAGCAATACAAGTTAATTACAAAGTTCTTAGTTATGTATCAGTTCTTTAATTAGATATGTATACACTAAATACGGTTAAAATATATAATTTTGTTCTTTTTATGAAATCTCAGATATAATTGATAAATTTTATTATCGAAATATAGTGCCATCTAAGGATGGTTTTGCTAAAGCTATACTCAACAATAAGATTTTAGTGATATAATAAGGTTTTAGGTAAATGTATATACACTGAATGCGGTTAAAATACACATAATTTTGTTCTTCCACAAAATCTCAGGCATAATCTATCTGCCGCAACAACTTTAAACATCTACATGTGATCTCGAGGAAGAGGCGCGCAATACAATTAAATGATTAAACGAACTTACCTGTAAGTGAAGTTCTATCATAATTGTATGAAACGCCTCTTCCGAAGAGATCAGTCCCACCCAGTATACACCCAATTCTAATATTATTAGATTTCCCATATGTTACGGCAGCACTTTAAATAAATGAGCAATGGAAGGAAACGGAAGCGGAAGCGAACCAAAGCGAAAAGTTTTGAACTTTAAAACTGTGGCGACATCGGTGCATAGTAGCGGTACTACATGTGATCTCTTCGGAAGAGGCGCTTCATACAATTATGATAGAACTTCACTTACAGGTAAGTTCGTTTAATCATTTAAATATTACTTGTTCTAAATATTTGATAAGTTCATATATCCGCAAATCTACCATAAAGTCATCGCAAGCATCACATATACTCAAAACATATTCTAGATATTAGCAAATCTAGTACTTAAAATAAGAATATTTAATTAATACAAGAATTCGGATTACTTACTATGTACAGTCTACTGAAGAGAAGTATATAATATTCTTGAAAGAAGAATGAATTCTTGTTTTGAGCACAAAATTATGAGCTTTTCTAAGATTAGTGTAATACAATTATAGTTTATCTTTTTATAATTATTTCAATTTACTTTATTTTATTATTTTTTTAGTACCTGCACCTATTTATTTAATCAATTCCGGAAAATTACTTGTTGTAGAATTCTATTCCAAGATTCTAAACAAAAATATGGCGATGGTATGGTACCAAAAAGCTATAATAATTTTGAAAAAAAATATTTTGTTTTTTTAAAGTACCTTCCACCCATTTTATTGGTTTAAAAAAATTACTTGTTATAGAATACTGTCCCAAAATTCTACATAAAATATATGGCAATTGTACCAAAAGCATATCATATTTAAAAAAAATAAGAAAGAATACTTTATTTTTTAAAAGTACCGCCTACCCATCTTATTGCTTCCAAAAAATTATGTCCGATAGAAAACTACTCCAAAATTCTAGAAAAATGTTTTCGTAATTGTACAAGAAAAATATCGGGACTAAAAAAAATCAAGAACATTTATTTATTTTTTTTATCAATGTTTCTGTCATCAGAAATCTTTCCCGAATTTTCCACAAATGTGTCTCAATGATATCTACAACATATTAAAATTTCATCAAATTGGTTAAGCCGATTAAAAGATATGAATTATTTCCGAAATTTTTATTGATCCTTCTTATCCGGCTACGACCTTTATTTGTTAAATTAAATCAACCGTATAACTATAAATTATATTTGTTAAATTACTCGCACATAGCATATTACATTCTTTTACACTGTGCGAGAAGTTCCACAAATTTTATTTCGAATATTTCCGACATATTCTTGTGATATATGAATAACGATGCATACATTGCGATTGCAAAATACCTTTCTGGAAATACGTAAAATTTTTGCTATCGGATTATAATTTTAGGTTAAATTATATCTATATGGGAATATATGATGTGCGTTTTATTTCGAAAAAACTAAAATATGTAGAGTGTAGAGAATAAATCAATATTTTTGTATAATATGTCCATTTATCAATATTTACAATTATATTGATAAAAAAAATTAACTTGTGTTTTGCATGATTTTCATAATCACCACAATTACAACAAATTAAGTTTCCACGCTTATTGCAATTAAATGTAAATTACTTTTAAATATTTATTACCGTTTGCAAAACTGTTATTTTCATCACTTCAACTGTTCAATTTTATATCTTTTATTTTTTCTAAAATAATAAAAATAAAATATTGCATTTACATTTGATAAACGAAACGTCGATAATGATTTTCTGCGAAGCAGAGAATGCGTTGTTATAATGACATACGACGGGATCGCTTTTAAACGTTTAATAAACGTATCGAAAATTTATAATGAGCTCGACGTACGTAACCCGCGAAGTAACCTATAGGCGTAATTCGCGCGCGTTACAAATATACATTGATAAAAGCGTTTAACGAACGTATCGAACGGCTTCGTAATTTTGTCAACTCGTGGAAGCGGCAAATATTGTCAGCTTCCCGGCCGCGCCGCATCGTGCGCGCCGAAAAGCCGAGAGGAAAGCGATCATCTCCCGGAAATTTCGAAGGGTGTCGCTATAATTGGTAATCTGTAGTTACACCCTGTCCGGGGAATAGCTGCCAATTAATTAAGCCGCGTATTCATGCCGTAAACTAATGTCACGACTAATAACTCGTCCCGTCGGAACCACGACCGCACGATGCGCGTTCATCGGCTTAATTACACAATCGCGCGATTTATCTCCGCGTGACAAATTTTGTAGTTTTTTTTTCTTCAGATTAAATAATTTAATAATATTATATATCAATCTTGATGCGAATATTGGGAAAATTAGCATGATAAATGTGAGATTTGTACCATAATGAAAAAACTTGAATGTATTATATAATTAAATCCGTTTATTGAATAACATGAATAATTTTCATATGATAACAAATAATAATATGACATTTATAGATATGACGAAGAATTGAAAAAATTTAGGATCCGTTATTGTAATAAATTTAGGTTTAATCTATTATCAAAACAATTAATATTACTTCAGAACAGGAAAGAAATTCATTATGGCTGCAGATAACTACTGAAGATTATAAATAATGCCAAAATTAAACGAAAATTTTCATTATTATTCTTGCAATCAGCTTATAATTAAATTAACCGGTGCAGAAAATAGGCATTTAAATATTCAATTAAAATTTACAGAACAATGCAGCGTCATAATGTGTAATACCGATATTCACGAATGTTTTATGTTTTATACAAACTGCTAATTAAACTGGAAACTTTATTGTTGGAAAAAGAATGTTGTTTTCGATACGTAAAAAAAGTAGTTTATCATAATAATCGGAACGATACATTTTACTCGTCATTGATAATCTCTCGCGATGGTATTTTGTATCCTCGAGATATTAGTCGAGATCCAATCGATTTGTCTGGACTCGCAGGGATGACTGATCCGCACAGTCATTTGGGCTTAGCGAACCCACAGAGACGCGAGCTCAACACACTGTAAACACAGGCACACATTTACACACGCACGTCATGCAACCCTCACGCATTTTTTGGTTGGCGATCGGTGGACGCGAAGTCGATGGCTGCCGCCAGATACGGTAATAACAAACATATTTTCACAACGACAGCTCTATTTGTATCCTTAAACTGTTTAGATTAGGCTAGGATAGGCTAGATTAAGTTACGTTAGGTTAAACTGGTAGTTTTTTAATTCCTCAGTGTACGAAGATCGTGTAAATCAACCGTCCGAACCGTGCCGAACTGAAAAGGCCGCGTTTATAACTGTCATCAGTTAAGCGAATCGCGTAAAATTTGTACGCGCCACTGCCGCGATTATTTACCATATCGTAGCTCGGCACGTTTTACGATTTTATTGATTAATCGCGTTACGCGACTCGGGCCCGTTCAGTTCGCGGACGTAACCGGCGTTTTCATCGCCGGCATCGTAAAAAAGTATCACCACCTGAAAAAGATCACTTTGCTACCTTTTTGCATCGGTAGCCATGTTTGGCGCGAGCGTCATTTTATGTATTTACCTCGCTTGATTGCAATGTTGCGCCGACTCAACTTTTCAAATGTTTTCAACGGAGGGACGAAACTACACGGCGCGCGGAATGAACAATTTAAAAAGTCGCGTAATTCGTTTGGCGCATAAACCTGTATAAATTCCGCAGTAAGCGATTGTTGAATGAAAGGATTAGTGATTGTTTTCGATCCACGTATATCTCGCTAAATCGATATTTTCGCACGTCGCGCGCCTATCGTGACTGAACTTTTCAAACGCGTCGTAAATATTTGCGATTATTCACGTTCCTTGACACGTGCATTGCGTAATTACGCGCACGCAATCGGGCGCAAATACGTTTGCGTTTCGTTCCGATTTGATGAAATTGCGGGGCATCCCGTTTGAAAGTTTATGCCATTATACCTTGTTTACACTTTTTACGTTTAGTTGATGGACTGAATAGATAAACGCAGAGTCGCCCGCTAATAGGAATAGATTATCTCGTTGAAAAGTCCGAGAAAATATGGCCGTGATAGATACTCGAGAAAATTTACAATGTTGATTTGTCGAGGAGAGATGTGCGTGAATGTGCGGTTTTTGCATTTGATATGAGCGACGGCGTACGGCTTGAGATACGAAGTTGATACGGTACTTCTCATAACGTCGCCTCTCGCAGCTCGAGGATTTACGGCCGGCCGGAAGGAAGCGGACAAGCGAATTGTTCCTCCGGGAGAAAGAGAAACGAGAGAGACCGACACTGTTCGTACATCTATAATACCTCCGGTCTCTCTCTCTCTCTCTCTCTCTCTCTCTCTCTCTCTCTCTCTCTCTTTCTCTCTTTCTCTCTCTTTCTCTCTCTCTCTCTCTCTCCATCTGCCCCGCTCTGACCAGAGAATTACTGCCGTAATTTCGATCGAACCCCGGTGTTTAGCGCCCTTCGCCAAAGCGGTTTGTGCTTTATAGGTATATGCGTCTTGCCGAAAGGACGCTCCGGTTGCAAAAAGCTTTTGAGGAATCTAAATTTTATGTTTATTTCTCTGGAGAAATTAGACTTGGAGTTTAAACTGCAAACTTGGCTGGGATCTAATTTTCTCACGAAATTCTCATGTTATTAGCACTAGAAATTTCATGGAAGGGCGTTAAACTCACGTGTAAGTAGTCGTTAGTAATAAACCGCGCTGTCGATAATATAAGATGGAAAATAATGAATGCCGAAATTCGAGGTGCCACGGCGAAAGATTTAAAAGACCAATGTCCATTTCTGCCAATGTAGATTAACTTTAATCTCGATTTAACTTATCTTCTATTTTTTTTTAATTCTTGGAATTAGAAAAAGATGAAAAGTAAGTTAAACCGAGATTAAAGTTAACCTACATCGGTAGAAATGGATATAAGTCTGTCAAAATTTTTTCCCCATCGGAAGTCACGTCGTTTCGAGCGAGTCGCGCGATTACAATGCGCCCAGGAAGCAGAGGAAAGTTTCAGATAGCGTTTAAAAAGTTCACGCACAAACGCGATCATTCATCTTGTACTTCGGCGTAAGAAGTCTTGAGCTGCGGGGCTGTATATACCCGGGGACATCGCAAAGACTGTCTTCCAAGTAATCGCGAGCGCGAAAGCGGAGCCCCGCGCATTATATTTACATCATCCGCCATCGAATTTAACTCGGGACAAGCGCACGTTGTTTGATCTACGGGATAGCTTCGATAGCAGCTGGGAGATATAAACCTCTCCGTA